AAACAGTTAAATTGGAAACAATATAGTAAGTTTAAAAGTTATGACGTTTAGGGGTGCCTGGCTGGCTCAGTTGGTAGAGCCTGTGACCTTGATCTCAGGGTCATGAGTTCAAGCCCCACACTGGGCATGAAGCCTACTTAAATTAAAAAAGCAAAAACAGGGGTGCCTGGGTGGCTCAGTCGGTTAAGCGGCCGACTTCGGCTCAGGTCATGATCTCGCAGACTGTGAGTTCGAGCCCCGCGTCGGGCTCTGTGCTGACAGCTCAGAGCCTGGAGCCTGCTTCACATTCTGTGTCTCCCTCTCTCTCTGACCCTCCCCCGTTCATGCTCTGTCTCTCTCTGTCTCAAAAATAAATAAACGTTAAAAAATTTTAAAAAAAAGATTTAAAAAAAAAAAAGCGAAAACAAAGTTGTGATGTATAAACAGCAATTCCGTGGAATGAGAATCTGCTTTTAAATGTTCAGTTTTAATTTAAATTTGTTCTGAAAAGGGACTGTATTCACAACATTCAAAATGTAAAAGATACAAAAGGCTTTAACAGTGCAAACGTCCACATTTCTTTGTTTTTGGGAAACCACTGTCGTCCGTTTAGGGTGTAGACTTTCATAAACCTCTAATGTCTATGCAGGCAGATACCTCTCTCCTGTAGAAATACACGAATACACACGTGCAGTCCCGCACCGTGCTTTTTCACATAATCAAGCATCTTGGATGTTATTGTGTATCAGTGCGTGATGAGTGTCCTCATTTATGCGAAGGCATAGTTTCCACTCTGTTGGTGCGATATAATTTATTAAACTAGCGCATGAGAATCGTAAAGAGCGTCTCATTCAAACTTTACTCCAGATGGGGAAATTGAGAGAGTTAAAGGAATCCGCTGAAGCGTTAGAGCCAGGATCGGCTAGGTGTTTGTGCCACAGGAAGGGACTGTTCTTGAGGGTTAAAGACAAAGGTGAGTACGGACGGTCGCTGAAGAAACATACACAAACAGGAAGGCACTGTCACTTAAGAAGAGGTTTTTGGGGGAGGCAGCCGCGGCAGAGCCCAGAGCGGAGTCTGCGTGGACTGACTGGCACTGGTAATGCGGACCGAATACGCGGGGACTGAGAGTGGTGAAGATGAGACGCTGGCAGGCTCTGGACACAAGTCAGCAGCTCCTGGCAGCAGGAGAGCACAGGAGTTTGTGGTCTGGAATCCCCGTGAGCGTCCCAAGGAAGCAGAGTAAACAAGAGGGGAGAGAATGCTCTGGAACCAGGCTCTGAATTTCTGCGCCCAGGTGACAGTACCCGAGAGTGCTCCTGGGAGGAGGCCTGGGTATCAGGTGTGTGGTCATGGGGCATCGTGGGGGGTGGGTAGCTTGTCCATTTTGTTTGCCTTTGCCTTGAAAATTTTTGGCCAGTCAGTCAGTCTACCACTAAGGAAGGTGGCAGTGGCATTTAAATCTTACTTCCACTCAGAATCACACAGGCCCCCGCCCCTGCCCCTTTCCTCACCCCTGCCCCACAGGGCTAACCGACCTGTGCTTTCTAACAAGCACCCCCACTGGATGACGCTCATAGTCCTCAGTTTATTCATATGATCAATGAATCGATCCAGTGGTCTTTCCCTGTGCAGGGTGGCCTGCAGGCCAGTCTGCCCATGCTGCTGTCTTCCCACAGAACTGAACGCACTTCAGGACGAGCTGAAGCACTATGGCGTGGTTGTGCTGGGCTTTCCCTGCAACCAGTTTGGAAAACAAGAACCAGGAAAGAACTCAGAGATCCTTTCCGGGCTCAAGTGAGTGCCTGCTGGGACCCTGCAGAGACCCTGCCAGGATTTCCCTTCCTCCTTCTGCCTGGAGGCCGGCTTCCTCTGGAAACTTCCAGGGTGGGTGCTGGATCATTGGGTCCAAGAACATCATTGTGAAGCTTTGCGTGCAAACTTGCCTGCTGGCCGTGCTCAAGCATTCGCTCTGCCTTGAGCTCCTTGATAATGACATGAGGGGAATGTCCAATGGAAAAGAAGTACGGGACGACGGCAGGAATGTGGGCAATAAAAATGAATCGGGATCCTGACCTTAAAATATGCCTTCCAGTTTTCTTGGAAGTCTCTACTGGCTCCATAAAGCATGATGTCCTGACTCCCAGAGACCTCTCTTTCCTCACCTTCCCTGTCTTCCGTGTCTCCCTCTTTATCCTAACTTTTGTGGTAGAGTTATGGTGGCCTTCACCATCCCTCCTTGTCCTAACTTGCGCCCTCTTGGGAACACGCTGGTTCATTGCAGGTATGTGCGTCCAGGTGGCGGCTTCGTCCCCAGCTTTCAGCTCTTTGAGAAAGGGGATGTGAATGGAGAAAACGAACAGAAGGTCTTTACCTTCCTGAAGGTGAGTGCCCACACACCTGGCAGGCGTTGGTCATAGGCAGAGATGCCCCGAAAGCATGGGGCTCGTTTTGGATCAAGGTTGGATTCCTTGGAAAGAAATGCCTAGATAAGTTCAAGAATCATGGCAATGTCCACGGTGAGGCTCGAGCTTCAACTACAGGAAACGTAACCTGTGACAGTCCTGATGTGGACCAGTGCCCCTTACTGAAGGGTAGCGATTCACTCTTCGGCGGTCGTTTATGGAATTCCCATAGGTGTGAGGATCTCTGCCCACTGGGAGCCCAAAAGCACTAATAGGGCCCAGCCCTTCCCTGGAGGCTCCTCTCCAGTCAGGGAGACGGACATGGAATTCATAACGTAGAGTGTGTATGGCAACTTGTCTTAGCGTCACCGAGTCTTAGAACCACCCAGGTTCTCTTAGGCCACAGGTTCCCACATGCTGGTCTGCCAAACAAGTCTGGTCCCCGTTGAAATTTTCACCCATCCATTGCAAACTGAAGAAAAAAAAAAAAAAGGCAATGTGGGGAGTTTTTCGCAAAGCTCAGCTCCTTGAATCTAAAAGACCATCATTTATTCTGATATTAAATTATTTGTTAAATCCTATAAATTGCCATTTCTGTTGCTCAAAAATGGTGATGCTATTGATTTTTCTTCGACCTAATCCTTTAAAAGTCTGCTACTTTTAAATTTTACAGTTAAGTAGACTTTTGATTTTTCTTATTGTCAAAATAAATGTTGGTTATTCTACATTCATCTCCGGAAAATAGTTATTAAACCTTTACCACCCTATGAAGCCCCAGACTCTGGGAACCACAACTCTAAACCGAACCATTTCTTTTTTCGGGTAAGAAAACCAAAGCTATAGAAATGGTAGGACTTAGCAAAGAAAACAGAAGCTATTATTTTACTGAAGCACCATGATATAATCGTGGGAGAGGCAGACTGGGAAGGGAGGACTATTTTCTGTCATACTCTTTAGCTCTTGGTTGTTGTATTGGTGATGTTGCATTAAAATGTGTGGTTCACTGGGGGCACGTCGGGGGTTCACATGTTGACACGTGGATGCTGAGTACTCTAGGGTTCCAGATAAAACTGGACCTTACAGAAGCACGGGGGAAAAAAACCTGTTTTCTATTTTTCATATCTCTGCTCCAGAACTCCTGCCCTCCGACCTCTGATCTTTTGGGCTCACCAGACCAGCTGTTCTGGGAGCCCATGAAGGTCCATGACGTCCGCTGGAACTTTGAGAAGTTCCTGGTGGGGCCCAACGGGGTCCCTGTCATGCGCTGGTTCCACAAGGCTCCCATCAGCACCGTCAGATCAGACATCCTGGAGTACCTGAAGCAGCTAAAAACCAAGTAGAAAGGCCCAGAGGCCTTCAGAAATAGCCACCTGCCTCCCACCTGAAGGACATGGTTGAACACTGGGCCCATCTTTGCTCCACATGCCTTCCTACCCAGCGTCCCTGTGACCCCGCCATCCTGGATATGCGTGCGTGTTGGTGTGCGTGTGCTCGTGTGTGTGCTTGAGAACAAGGCAACGAAAACCTATCTCCCCAACTCTCTGCTCCCCGAATATCAGGTTTTTTCCACTGCATTGCAAAGGAAAAGCAGATTTCCGGGTAGATGGCTCAGAGTACCAAATATCCCTGAAAAAGGTGATCCCCAGGAGTTCTGGCGTCTGTCCTTCCCCATCGTGGAGGTTTGAAGAAAGCAGGAACTGGCAGCAAGACCCTCAAGACCCCCTTCATAACCTCTCCTGTCCTTGAAGATAGCCCTGGGGTGGAAGCTCTTCCTCTCCCAAGTGAGGCCTTCTGTCCCCCACACCCTGCACACTCCTGCAGGGCCTCTGAAGTCCGGGTGAGGGTGGAAACCTGGGGTCCCTGAAGGAAGGCAACTCCCTGATGGGGGCCCCCAGCCCCTCTGGGTTGGACCTACCCAAGCTTCCTTGGCCCCTGTCCCTTAGTGGCTCCAGGGCAGGGATGTCCCTTCATTCTGAAGTTAGGGCTTTGTCCTCACCCTGAGCCTCCCCCCGCCACACACATACCTCTTCTCATCACTGACTCAAATAAAGGAAATTCTGCAGCAGAGTTGGTTTCCCGAGGTGTCTCCCCGCTCCCGGATTACATCCCTGCACCCTCAGTATTTTGTGTTTCCCACATGCACTCTGGATGCTTCCCTGGCCCATCCAGACACCAGGTGGGGCTGGCGGCCGTAACCGTGGACACTGACCTTGCAGAGGCAGCCGCCCCCTCCCACTGGGGTCCCCTGGGGGCCCCCATGTGAGGTAGCCCTGCTTCTCTCCAAAGACACAAACATTCTGTCTGTAAAATTCCTGCTCACAGTTAAAAATCTAAAAACACAGAAAAACGGAAGGAAAGTGAAACAAAGTGCCCCCCTAGTCAGGAGCAAAGAACGTGCTGGGATGCCCCGTCCAGCGGCTGCCTTATCACCAGGGTTCAGTCCTTTCTGTGAGCACAGACTGCAGAACACCAGAAACTAGGAGAGGCTTGCACGAGGAAGTGAAGCAAAATAGCTCTTTTTATTTTCCCTTTCAGAAATTACTTTCAACCAATTTCAAATTTTTTTTGCACTTTAAATATTTTTTTGCACTTAAAACGTAGAGGGAATTTAAGTGTCAGTGGTGAGACATGACATCGGCTGTGCCCCGGGACGGAAGCAATCCCTGACTTAACCTCTGTGTAGAACGTGCAAACTGGCAAAGCCAGCGATGGCAGGGGAAGAGATTCAGACCTGGGAACTCCAGCTTCCAGAAGGAACAGGTGCTCTGGGAGCCCAGGAACGCAGGCGTTCACGCGGTCCTCGGGGAAGACCCGGCCTCCTGGAGGAACTGCCGCGGAGACTCTTGGGGTCTGGCCTCCAGGACTGGGCTGCGTCTGACCTCAGAGGAAAATGTTTTCCCCACATTTGGATGTTTTGTCTTCTTGCACTCAAAATCCAGTCAGGAAAACAAAGTCTGGCCGTCTGTGGCGTCCCCTCGGGCGGGATGTGAGACCCCCAGAGGCCTCGCCAAGCAGGGAGGGAGTGAGGAGGGGCCGCAGGGCCTCTCCAGTCACGGTGGGAGATGTGTGGAGTTTCTCCTGAGAACCCCCAGAAGCTTCCACACCTGTTACTACTTTCCGATGAGGATCATCAGGGGCCAGGAAGTGGGTGCAGGAGGCGGGGGCCACTCAAGGTTCCAGTTCAGCGTAAAGCAGAGAACTGCTGCGTGAGAGTGAGCGCTCCGGGCAGCAAGTCCCAGTCCGTGGGAGAGTCCCGAAGCCAAGAAGGAAGAGGGCTCGGCTTCCCCGAGTGGTTATGCTGAGCGTCTGCGACAGGCTCCATCCTGTAGCTGCTGTGAAAAATGCAGGTTCCCTCCGTGATGCCTCCCCCTGCCCCAGGGCTGACCCTGCAGGGGACAGAAAGGCTGAGCTGATCTGAGGCCAGCGGGGGGGGGGGGGGGGGGGGGGGGGGGGGGGGGGGGGGGGGGGGGGAACTTCCTGGTGCTGGGAGGTGGGGGAACTGGGGCAGGTGTTGCAGAGGATGGTGGCAATGATGAGGAGAATGTAGAAGTCTTTATAAAGGGGGGATCCGGAGATAAAGTGCCCACTTCTCCCCTCCTCACCGACCCCTGTGACAGATCTTGGTCCCCCTGGGAAAGCCACACACAGAACCTTCTGGGAGTGGGCGGGCTGCACAGGACTGCTTAGGTCCGTTAAGGAAGTTGGAACCTTACTGTTGCCGTCTTGGTGCTCATCATGACCTCACTGGCTCTATTATTGCTGCGGAGTTTTTTCTTCCAACAAGAAGTTCCCACAGACTATCATGCAAATTAGATACACTCGGTGCGGTGTTTTCACAGGCATCTACCCCACCAGCCACCTAACAGGTGTCTGAAATGACTATTGCTCTGCGGATCACAAAACCTTTGAGGACAGTCCCCAGGCGGGATGGGGGGTGGGGTGTGGTTTCCAAAGTCCAGGGAACCAGGACTCAGACCCTCTAACCGCCTACTCCCAGAGTTGAGATGCGGCCACTCCCGGAGGCCAGACCCCAGCACACTCTCCCTCCGGCAGTTACCACGTAGAAACCAGGCCTCCCCAAGGACTGCGTGAACATTGGCGTTCCTGGGCTTTGGGAGCACCTGTTCGTTCTGGAAGCTGGAGTCCCCAAATCTGAGAAAGGGAGGGCCAGGGTCCATGCCAGAGTACATCGGATCTCATCCTGTGACCCCCACAAATACCCCTTGACTTGGCTTCCGTTCCCAGGAAGCAGACTGAGACTGAGATTTGGACACATGTCGCTTACTGAGTGGTCTCAGAAGAAGGGACCAGTGATGCAGGATGGGGCAGAGGAAGAAAGATTACTCGGGATTTCTGCTGGAGATTACCTCGGGATAAAGCCCGCTATCATCATTCCACCTTGAAGGAAGAGGGATGGTCTTTTGTAACTCAGGTCAGTCAACCATTGGCTGTGGGGTCGCCCCCAGCCCCAGGGTGAGACCTCCAGGTGAGGTGACTCCTCTGGCTGGAAGGGGCAGCTGGGAGCCACAGGCGGGGGCAGGGGCACCATCCTGCCAAAGCAGACCTGGGTAAGGCCATGGAGGCTGGCCACTACCCTCCACAGTTCCTTACCCAGAGGGACCCCCGAGAGTCTCCACCCAGCCACGTGTTCCCCTCCTCACCCTCCATCCGTAGGGAGTTCATTCTCTCGGCGATGTGTCCTGACCAGGACCAGTAGCAACAGCATCACCTGAGAACTTGTTAGAAACACAGTTCTGAGGGGCGTCTGGGGGCTCAGTCGGTTGAGCGTCCGACTTCAGCCCAGGTCATGATCTCGCGGTGCCTGAGTTGGAGCCCCGCATTGGGCTCTGTGTTGTCAGCACAGAGCCTGCTTCACATCCTCTGTCCTCCTCTCTCTGCCCCTCCCCCCTGGTCTCAAAAATGAATAAACATTAAAAATATTTGACAAAGAAATGCAGTTTTTAGCTCGCTCCCAGACTTACTGAATCAGAAACTCAGGGGGTGAGAACAGCAGTGTGTGCTTTAAAAGGCCTTCCAGGCGATCCTAGTATATGCTGCCCCGGGGAGTGGAGGCTGTGCACAAAATGCTGGCGTCTTGACACAGGATGAAAGAATTGCCCCTGCACTTCACGTGGTCGCCCACTGTGCTCAGCCTCAGCCCCACTGCCTCCCCCGTTCAGCCGGTAGGTGTTCCTAAGACCCAGGGTTGACATGGACCGTTCAGCCATCCCCCGGCTGTCAGTGCCCTCGGTGTCTGACCTTTGTGGTTTCCACGTGGGCCCAAATTCAAGGTGTATCATCTCACACACCTCCTCCTTGACCAGACCTTGGTCAGGCTCCTCCGATCCCCCTTCTCAACTAGGACTTGACGTTGGCCAGGCTTTGCCAAGAATCCTGCTACGTCTCAGCAGTGCTTGGCCCACTTCCCCTCACCCTGCGTGTCAGCTGTAAGTGCCCACAGGTCCCTGCTGTGTGCGGAGCGGAGTTCAGTCTGGCTCCCCTATTTCCAAACTTTGGGCTCCATTGCAGATGTCTTAGATAAAGTCTTCTGTCCGCTTGAACAAGTCAAAACAATTTTCCTTTATCTTCCCAAAGACTCAGACTTGCAATGTGATTTGGAGCCCAGGAAAAGTCTCGCTTTCTCTTCTCCGGTCACCACCCCGCCTGCCAGCCCACCTCACTCGCTGCTCTGACTACAGAATTTTCTCTTGCTTTCCTCAAGTTTCAGGTCAGAAACATTATTTTCTTTGAATCTGGGAAGTTCCTGATAGAGATTCTGTTCCCCTTCCCCCCTGCCCAAATTTTCCTTGTGAAATCACACAGACTACCCACCCTTTTGTTCTTCTAAAAGGAAAGAGCAACGTACGTTGAATTCTTTCAGACGCCATTTGGCCTCAGAAATGTAGTGGCCTCGACACTGTGCAAACCATTTCGTCACCTCAGAGCGACACCTAGGGCAGACGTACAGCTCATACCAATTCTTAGTTTTAGGGTTTTTTTTATTTTTTTAAAAATTCTTATAACATTTATTCATTTTTGAGAGAGACAGAGCATGAGCAGGGGAGTACGGAGAGAGAGGGAGACAGAATCCGAAGCAGACTCCAGGCTCTGAGCTGTCAGCACAGAGCCTGACGCAGGGCTTGAACCCATGAGCCATGAGATCATAACCTGCACTGAAGTCGGACACCCAACCATCTGAGCCACCCAGGCACCCCGTCAATTTTTAGATTATAATTTCAGAGGGACTAGAGAAAAGATGACTGGGGATCTTTTCTTTTTTCAGATCTGTTCTCTCTTTCCAATTTCTTTGCTTCCGGCAGGCAAATCTGTAAGGAATTGA